ATATGGATAATCTGGCTGTATGGGGTTAAAGGTCAAGACAAACTGATCTATTTAGTTCACATGAGCCAGTTGGCGCGGGAGGCACATGCAGGAATATAAACTTGCTGTCACAGAAAAAATGGCTTTGTTGGCGATCAAATGAGCATGCATGTTACAGCCTCATCGGCAGTCATTCTACAGTAACTCCAAGGGAGCAGCATGGACCTAAAAACATGTAGTCATCATGGACACTGTAAATAACGAGAGTTTCTTTGACTGAATGACTACATGTAATTATGTACATGTATTCAATAGTTGAAACAATTGGAATGTGTCATGCTAACTCACTTGAAATATTCACAGTATGTTGATGTCAGGTTTGGTTTCTAAAATTTGATCTGTATTTTCTTGGCTGCAGTAAACATGCAGGTTTTATTCTTTGTGCTCTTTTGCTTTTAGTTCATTTTGCAAGTGACTTGTTTACTTGTTGCTGCTGCACATGTCCTCTATATCAGTACATCAAGAGTTCTTTGATTTTTGTTTTACCAATGGCTGAATAGGTATGGCTTCCACCGGGACCACTGTCTCGCTGCCTTGGAAGAGACCAGTGGTGACGTTGGCCAAGCACTGGAACACCTTCTGCAAAAATGTTTCCGGTACTCGCCAAAACACAAACCCAAGCGGAAGCGCACCAAGAGTCAACAAGGAGATGTTGAGATGGACGGACAGATGCGGGAGGCCCTGCAGCAGAGGGAGGAGGAGGCCACAGCCCTCAGCTCCATCTACCAGGAGGACTTTGATGAGAGGATACCTGACCGGGTGTGGGTCCTGAACTTTGACCTGCCCCACATCACCGACCACTTCAGGGAAAAGGCCCGAAACTCACAGGACCGGACACGGCAGATGTTGGACCAGTCTTTGGCCATGGTCGGCATGTGCAGGTTCTACCAGCAGGGTTACTGCCGGTTTGGTTCCAAGTGCAAGTTTCGGCACAAGAGGGAGAGTCATGGCCCGTCCTACCAGGAGATCTGTGACAATGCTGGCGCCCAGGTCTACCAGCTGGAGATTCGATTCCCCGAGGGCAACCTCTATCCCCTGGAGCCCCCTCTGGTAGCCTTCCTTACTTCCAATCCGGACTTCCCCATCGGCAAGAGCCTCAACGTCTCCAGGCTGTTGTTTGAGGAGGCAAAGGACATTGCTGAGACTGCTTCCCCGGCTGTGTTCTCGCTTGTGTCTGTCCTAGAAGATGCCACCCAGATGATAAATGCTCTTGAACAAAAGCCATTGCCTCTGAGCCTCGTGCCTTCCTCGGATAAATCCGTTCAGAAGAAACCAGTCTTCAAACAAGGAGCCGGTCGTGGTAAACCTCTAAATGCTTCAGCAGATAACACAGCTGAACATGGAGTGGACAATTCACATTCTTTTGCAAAAGGAAAGAACGCATCAAACCTGACTGTCAGCAGTGATGAAAGCGAAGACTCTGAGAGCAAGGAAGAAGGAACCTCGTCGTCAGAAATTGAGTCTGAACCGGCCCCGGTGAAAACAGAGAAGAACCAGCCAATGAAGAGGGACCAAAGAGCCATTGAGAGGGAGAACAGGAATCTCAAAGAGCAGTTCAGGAAGAAGAAGGTAGGTATGGTCACCAGGTAGTCCGTACTGTAGTAAAGTAGCCCTGTCTTGATACCACAGCAGCATCAATGCCACAGTTTAGCCCTAAATCCTTTGGCACCTTTCGTGACTCCATACAAATCCAAATGCTGCATCGTAGCCAGTGATACATTCTGTGTACTATTCAGACAAGTATATCAAGCCTTGTGTCAAGCAATGGTCTCTGCACCACACTTCGGTACATATTGTTTGGCTTTGAGTTTGTCTTGCTGGGATGTGATTGACAATGTGTTACGCACTGCTTGGTTTTACTACCCTAGTCTGTGACCTTTGAAACCTTTTGAGTTTCACCTCATCGACATCATCCAAAGCATTAGTAATGCACTTGTCAGTTTTCTCTCATTAACTCAGTTTCATGCTTTGCAAACCTCTGAATGTTTGAACTTTGCTCCCATCTACAGCATTCTCATTCCTACAAGAGCTTCCTTGCTGACCGGCAAAAGCTTCCAGCCTGGCAGGAGCAAGAGAAAATCCTGGAAACCCTGGACAAAAGCCAGGTTGTGGTTGTGAGCGGAATGACTGGGTAAGTGAGAAGTTTGCTTGTGTCAGTTTCTCAAACAGTGGACCAAGCACTGTATGTACAAAGACATGTACCTTTTAACTAATGTACCTTCAGCTGTCTTTGTACAACCACATTCACTGGTGTTGGTTTTCTGTCTTCATTGTGAAAAGCTTTCAAAGCAACTCTGTTAAAGATGTTTAGAAAATCATGCATGATTCAGTTAAAATCATAAAGTCAAGATAAAAAACTTACCTCCATTGTGTTGAATAGATAATACGTGCAGAAAGCGTGTCCTTGGTGGTGGCTTGGCATTTTGAAATTGAATCTGCCATCTGACATTGGTTACTTGATTGGCCAAGCGCTGGTAAGATATCTGCACTCATCCAGCAAACTCAAAGTCGTAGTAAGCTTGTAAATTTTCATTTCTCACAAGCTGTCAGAAGGCAATGAACATATTGTACCTCAGTACCTACAAAGCTACCGTAAATTGGTGAGGTCAAATCTAATGTTGAATTGTCAGTATTAGGGTTTGAAATGTTGAGACCAAAGCATCCCTTTGAAATAGTATTTACCCCTCCCCTTGTTGCACAGACTCATCTATTAATTTTTATCTGTTTTTAAAAGCAGATGCATTTAAAAGTCTTCCCTTTAGGATCCATTGATGCCCAAGCTGTATAAGACAATGTACACATGACCTTTGGTATTTCCTTTTTTTTTCAAACTTAAGTAGTTGCCTACGTTTTGAATAATGGAGCATTATAAAGTCAATATGAATGTTGTTACATAAACAACCTTGTGTAGTTTGAATAACAACTGAACAATAAATTCAAAGAAGAAAAATTACAACATCCAGGTAATAAATTATTCAAACTTAAAAGCCAAATGTCATTCTTCCCAGTAGTTTTCAAAAAAGTTGATATTCTTGTTTGACATGTCTTCAGATGTGGAAAGACAACCCAGGTGCCCCAGTTCATCCTGGACGCCTCCCTGAAGAGACCCGGCCCCTCACTGTGCAACATCATCTGCACCCAGCCCAGGCGCATATCGGCCATGGCGGTGGCCGAGAGGGTGGCTAACGAGAGAGACGTCCGGCTTGGTGGGGTGGTGGGATACCAGATCAGACTGGAGAGCAGACAGGTACGTCTTGCCCATGTGTGGTGTGCGGAGATGAGTCGGGCTATGTCCAAATTAAACAGCTACCGCTGGCAATCACACACAGGCCTATGTAGGCCACTGCCTTTTGAATATGATCATTTGTCAGTAATTTTGTTAGACTTCCAGGCTTTTCTTCAAAATATGGCCTCTCAAACAAATATGTGCATTAACTTCAACCTGTTAGCTCAGTTTATTAGGTTCATAGATACATGATATATACATGATACATTTTAATTCCATACATGGTCTAGTTATTTTTGGTATTAAACAGCAAAAATCATTTAATTGTTTTGTTCCTGGAGTCAGAAAATAGCTGTGAAGTGATATTACTTCTCTTCATCATGTTGAAAGATTGCAGGTAGCGTTTCTGTTATATTTGACTCATTTCCCATTTCTCAAGTATTATATAATCTAAATATTTCAAAGAGATTTTACAGTACATTCACAAAGTAATGTTACCTCAGAATTTGGTTTGGCAACATTCCTTTGCTAAATATACTACAGCTGAGGCTTCCACAATCAATAGAATCATCGGCAAGGGTGTTAGCAACATGTAGGATAGCTTATTACTCTGATCAGCAAAACAAATCGAAAAGAACCAATTTGTACTGCGTCCGTAATACAACCAATCACGTCACGTCCGCAATATTTATGCTTCTCGGGACATTCTGGTCATAGTAATATAAATCGGAGTGTTTTGTTCCTAACTTAAGTGCTAATGAAGTCAGAGTCACTTCTGACAAAGGCTTGACATCTTTCATACTCAAACGGTGTACTCATTGAAAGTCACCCTCATGTCATGCTACAGTTTCCATGTAACCATTTGCTAAACATACATGTACATGTAAAATACAACATAAATTCACTGTACTTCATTCTTAGATTTTGTAAATTATTTCAATGATTGGATTTTCAGGTGTCTTCTCTGCCAATTGTTTGAACCTGTATTAACCACTTGCCTCTGGGTTTGTATGCGTAGCCGGGGTAACCGAAATCAGACAAAGAGCTTGGCCTTGTAACAAAAGACCTTACTCAGAACAAAAGACCAAGCTGCTGGGACTGTCATTTTTCAGTTGGCATTAGTGGAGGTAATTCGTCATTGTTTTGAAACAGTATACCACTGTTTGTGGCATTCAGCGCCCACAGATTATCAGATTATCACTCCAGTGCTGAGCAATAAAGTATCGCTGCACGCTAATCTAGCCACATTTGAAAAGACGCTACTAGCATTCAGCAATGCACAGGGCCAATTTCAGGAATAAAGGAAATTACACAACATCACACAATCTGGGCTCTCTTTATTGGGTGGCAGGCCCAGCTGCAATACTCAGGCGTCAATGGAGGTTGCCTGTCAGATTAGATTAGAGTAGCCACCAGGCAGTCATTCACGTGGGTGTATATGTCTAGTACAAGTAAATGAAGTTAAGAATTTTTTGAAGAATTTTGAAAACGGAAAATCTTGAAAAATCCCCTGGGAACTCGTCCCACACATGCAAATTCCACCCAGCAGGAAGTGGTTAATAGACCTATGGAGACTTTATGAATTCACTCCAATCAGGTATTCACATTCCATCTACAACTGTAGAGTTAATGTCGTTGAACTGCATACTTTAGGTAAAAACAGTGATCCTGTAGTGCACAGGTTTTTTTCCATGTATGTGTTCTTGCATAGTGCTACTGCCCTTAGTTGCTTGTCTCTTGTGTAGTGAACTGCAGTTGCCTAAGGACATGTCATACAAGGTTAAGCCAAGGGGTACCAAATGACTAAGAAAAAAACCTGTGACAGCGTTCCATCAACAGTTTGGACAAAACTGAGACTTTGGTTAGCCTGAGGCTGGGGCAGCTATAGAAGTATAGTACAATAGGACCTTGTCTCCTGATGACAGACAGCATATTGTCCAAAACTCTGAGTAAATTCACTGGTTCGTTTCACGTTCCTACAAGAGAGTTACTTTGTGTCTGTTGTTCTGTTGTAAGCTTAACCGAATCACTGTTGACTTATATAGAGAGAGTGTAAAGAACTTCTAAGAATCACTTTTCACGGCATATTTAGGAGGATTTATTTGAGTGGATGCTGCTGTTTGTTAGCCACATAACATGCATGATTTACACTTACTGACAGCACCCATATAAACAAAGGGGAACTGTAACCTTCAGTTTCTCAAAGAGAACCGATGATTTGTTTGGTTGAGGTGAATATTCAGTATGGACATTGTCATTGGTACACTAAATTGGACTGTCATGTTGAACACTCTATCATCTGCTATGAGTCATCACTTTTAAAGGTCTTTTAAACTTAAACATTGTATTACAATCGCTGTGCCTTCTACTCGGATACAATAAAATATTTTTCTACACCAATTTAGATAAATTCTTGAACCATTTCAAATCTCTTTTGCTTTTCCCTTGGAAATGTTCACTTGTAATGCTCACTAACAGCCACCTGTGTGTTATTAAAAGACCAATTCGTAATACAACTTACTAGAATCACATGCAAATTTGCTGGAGATACCTGGGGAGGAATTACAGAAGTCGTGTTACTCTTTCCAGGAATGCCAATTCTGAGCATATCAGATTATACCCATATGGGAATTCTCACACTCTAGTAAAAAGTAAAACAATGAAAAAAAAGCAATGAAAACTTTTTTCGGTGAAGAATGGAAATCTTGATTGAATATTATTGCAGTGGCAAAATCAACTCCCTGCACCATGGCCATGCCTACTCCCACACTCAATTGTCATTTTGGTGTTTGTAAACCTTTATTTTCTATTCTGAGGACTTTCCCTCGCATGGATGTCAGTGACAGCATGAACGTAGCAATCCCTGCAGTGCATGGCGGAGCTCCCTGTTCCTCCAGTAGTAGATGACCATGTTCAGCCAGCTGTTGATGAGAAAAGCCGTGTCCATCAGAATGACCAGGCCACGGCAGAGCTGGGTCCCGTTGCCAATGAAGAGCACAAACACGATCACTTTGGGCATCCAGCACAGGCCTACGGCCCCCGTGATGATGATCACGGTCGTGGCGGACTTGGTTCTGATTGGCTGTTGGGCGTTCATCACCCCCTCCAGGGGGCAGCCCGCGTGATTCTGCATGGCGATGCGACGTGCCTGGCCTCGGGTAACTTTGAGGATGCAGACATAGAGCATCAGAATGATGCCGAACGAAATGGTGAACATGATGACCACCATGTACAGATAAAGCTGTTCTGGTCCGTCATTTTTATAGATGCACTGGTAGCCTTCAGGGAACAGTTCAATGGTGGCATTCGTGTATACTCCAAACAAAAGGACCATTGTCATCACGCATACCAACCACAGGATAGTGATCATGACCTTCGCCTTGACCAGTGTCATCAGTCTTGGGTAGTGCAAGGCATAAACGATGGCAATAAAGCGATCGATTGTTAAGAGGAGTAGGGACAATACATTTGTCGTCAGGAATATCGGGTTCACAACCCCTATAGCCACACAGAAGAAGTTTCCCAAAGTCCACTGTCCAGTGACGTTGTCAATCACCTGTGGAATGGCGACAAATAATCCTCCTAGGAGATCGGAAACGGTGAGGGAAACAGTGAACATCTTGGTTGTCTCTTGGATACTCCCGGCACGACGGAGGACAGCAAGACCCAACGTGTTCAGCGCAATGATCAGAACTGTTGTCAGTGTCAGTAGCACATTGGCGAAAATAGACAGGGACTCATGACAGCCTTTCACTGGGATTGTTCCTGACACATTCATCCTCGTTCTTTAAAATGTGATTAGTTGATCAAAACCGTGAAACTGTAGGAAACTTCAAGGAAAATGTTCTTCTTTAGATGCCACCAAAACATTAGTTCACCCCAGCAAGTCGCTCACTAGAATTAAATGTATGCACGTACATCGTCGCTCGAATTTTGTCTTCCCACTTGTGCAGACCTGAAAAGAAATGAGACATACTTTGTTTCTATGGCAACTAGTTAATAACATCTGCGTGATGTTCCCCCTACTTGAAATGCTGCACGAGGTGCTCAGTCATTCGTGAATTTACTTGCTTGGCGGAGAGCAATTAAATTTCAATTCAAACCAGAAATTCAGAAAGACTGTTTACATTGCTTTTCCCCTACCAAGACTCTAACCTTGCCAAGTCTTTAGACAGGTCTCTGGGGGAGATGTATGATTAACATCACTGTTTGGTTTTCAGGCCAGGCTTTATACTGCACACGTGCATGAACATGTAGGTATGAATAGCAGTGGTCTTACAGGACGTGGCATGTGGTCTTGGTACATGTATGTTACAGAGTTATGCTAAGGACGGGGCATATGGTCTTGGTACATGTATGTTACAGAGTTATGCTAAGGACTGGGCATATGGTCTTGGTACGTGTATGTTACAGAGTTATGCTAAGGACTGGGCATATGGTCTTGGTACATGTATATTACAGAGTTGTGCTTAGGAGCTTGAGGAACTGAGTCGTCAGTATTCAAGTGAATTGGATACATTTTAACCACTTTGCGCCGGGCCCATTAATCTATGTTGATTCTGCTGGACTGGGTAATTTTTTTATTTTTTTCTGTTTTCAAAATATTAGAGTATAGTGGTATTGTATCGCTCATCACTGGAGCACTTTTGTCCCCGATGGTAATCCACTTGTACTGAATGCCACATACAGTGGTATAATCTTTCAAAACAATGACAGATTTCCTCCGCTGTTGATAACTGAAAAAATATTGGAAATTCCCAGCAGCTCGGTCATTTGTTCGAAGTACAGTCTTTTGTTACAAGGCCCAGCTCTTTTGTCCGATTTTGGGCACCCCAGCAATGCATGTAAAGCCAACATCTCTGAAACCAGGCTCCCCGGCAGCAAGTGGTTAAGATTCTGTGATGCTTTTTTCTTTTGGGGGGGGTACAAGTTGGCCAGAAATTAACCACCGAACAAGTGCAAGAACCTGGTTGGAAAACTTCGCACCAGTCTGTCTGTCTTTCACTGGTGAGGGCGCTCTTCAGCTTAGGGCAGATTGATTTACACAGTGTAGTATTCTCTCAAGGGCATTCAACTAAACGGTGACTCTGCTCACTTGTAACCCATATATTTTGGTTGAGGCCAATTGAGAAAAAAAGCTGTACAGAATTTTGTCAGGTTTGGGATTTCCTTGTTTTCAGACTCTGCCTGGTTACGTGTACAATGTATATCTGTCCTTAAGTTTTTAATCTTCCCTCTTGGACATGGTTAGGTTTCCAGTACATTTTTTTCCCTACTTGTAAACCCTGGTATGTTGGTCTGTTGAACTGAAAATGTTTGCTGACGTGTCTCTTTGAGCTTTCTCAAGCCTTGTTACCTCTTTGCACTCCTTGACACTTGAGAGAAATCATCTTCAGTATCATTTATTCAAAACGTTTGTGCTGATAATGACAAGATTGATGATTTCTTTCATGCCCTCCTCCCAGTCTGCCTCTACTCGGCTGTTGTTCTGCACAACCGGCATCCTTCTGCGACGGTTGGAAGGAGATTCTAGTCTAGACGGAGTCAGCCACGTCATAGTGGACGAGGTCCATGAAAGGAGTGAAGAAAGGTAACAAATGTGCTGGATTTTGTGACAGTTTTCTTTGCCTGGGATCATGTTGCTTTACTGGTTGGACTGGATCAGAGATGAATGGGTTACGCCAGGTATAAGTTGGGTCAAGCGGCTCAGGTCAGTTTGCTAAGTTGGCTGTTGCTTTCCTCAGTGTTTTGATTTTGCATTTTACATTTCTTTGCATTTTCACAATGTATTTACTGTATGAACATACATGAATTCAAGTTTGGAACTAATTTTTTTTCTCTAGCAAAGATATTTAACTTTTAATTAAATATCATTTGTTTTAGGGGAAGATCGATACTTTACCCCTTTTATTAATGCACAAGAATAAATTATAGATGACATTTCAACATCACTAACTGGTTTCTTTTGTGCATCTCGGCTGCTTTCAAGCATGCGCAGGTTACTTAACCTGCGCATGCTTGAAAGCAGCCGAGAGTAAGAGTTTAGTGGGTTTTTAATGGGAGAGTAAAGAGTTTATCATCTCATTTGTTCTTTCGTCCAGTGATTTCTTGATGATGGTCCTGCAGGATCTTCTTCCCAAGAGGAAGGACCTCAGGGTTCTTCTCATGAGTGCAACATTGAATGCCGACCTTTTCTCCTCGTACTTTGATGGCTGCCCAGTCATTGACATACCAGGTCAGAGGATAATATCCCTTTTGGGGCTACAGTGAGCATTTTTTGTGTGGGCATTCACTAAATATTAAAACAAAGTTCCATATTTGCAGGACATGCAATAAAAAAGTTAAAAGAAAAGCAGATTTGACTAAGTTTTATTTCTTGTCTGTATTTCCAAGTTACTTACTAAACACAGGTGGATGAAGTGACAAAAGGACAAAGTGCAGTTCTAACCGTTGCATTATTACTGTCAAGAAGATACTGGTGTTATTCAAATTGTCATCATGTTGGTCATGAATGCCCTCAAGGACTAGAATAAAACATTTAACAAGGAGTCTGTGACTCCCAGCAAGATGGACTTACTGGTTTGGCTGTCTGGGATTGGTCCTTTCCAAGATTCTTAACATCATGCATGTCTTTGTTTTGATTCTTACAGGGAAAACGTTCCCAGTGGAGCAGTACTTTATGGAGGATGCTATTGAATGGACAGAGTACGTTTCCACTGCAGCTAAACCAGTATATTCCTCCGTAGGCGATTATTCTCATGCCAGTGTTTAAAGGCTCTCAAAAATTCAGTGTTTAATACAAGCCCTTTATATCTCTGTCAACCTCATTTCCATTTTTTTCTAATTACGTGTACTCTGAACTTCATGAAACATTTTAATTTTTTAGTATTACTATAAAGTCTTTAAAAATGGCATTTCAGCTATAACCTGGAGGAGAACTCCACATATGCTCGGCCGATCAAGCGCAGCAACGCTGTTCAATCTGACAGCACTGCCAAGCAGCTGAAGAATTACCAGTATGGAGGTGTAGAAGACGAAATAGAGGAAGCTCTAGCATCGACATCCATCAAGCCAATCAAGGATAACATGAGAGATTGGAATCTCACAATCCAGCAGCTTGCCCTGCGATATAGCGGTGAGAAATTTACTCCGGGTTGTTTTTTCTTTCTTTCTTTGTTGTTGTTATTCAACCCACTTTCAAGATATTACCCAGAATTGTTCAATGTTGCGTGGCCCATCAGTGTATGAAGGATGTGATGTGCATGTCCACTGATTGGCACTTAAACCATGGCCCATTTTCATCAGAATGTGCACAACCCCCTAGTACCATTTTCTTACTATACTCATCCATGACTGCTGGACAGATTGATTATTGCTGGACTTGTGGGCCATGTTGGTGACACAGATAAAGGCATTAAATTGCCCTCACTTTCTCAAAGTAATTTCTACGATTACACATTCAATAAACTCTGTTACATCTCATGCGCTAAGATGCTGCAATTCGTATTGATTATAAAAAGTGGACCAATTGCATAACATGTCTGAACAAGTAATATTCCAACATGCAACAAAACGTTTCTTTTCTTAAGCAGATTACAGCAAGTCCACCATCAAGGTCCTAGGCACTATGGATGCAGAAAAGATCAATTACGATTTGATTGAAGAACTTGTCTCTTGGATCGTCTTTGGGGATCATGAGGTATAGGCTTACATTACCCCCTCCCTGTGCTTTCATCTCTCAAACAAATGTTTCTAAGAGTACCGGTATGTGTGCTTGCAGTGCTATGTTTTGAAGTCCCAGTCCTGGATAAATTAGCTTTTTTCTCACTGAGGCACCCATGGATATTCATACAAAAAGGCTAATCCACATGAGACATGCCACTCTGACGGCCCAGAAACCTGACTTCTTGCATGTTGTTTCTTGCAGTATCCCAAGGATGGAGCCATCTTAATCTTTCTGCCTGGACTGGCCGAGATCCTGTCCTGCTATGATCAACTTCAGAGCTCCCTGTGTGGGCCCAGAGCCAAGAAAAAGTAGGAATGGCTGGCTCAAAATAGCTTACTTTTGCCTTGTTATTGCAATAAAATTTGAATAAAACTCATTGTAACCTGTAAGTGGAGTTGTAACACAGGTTATTAAAAAACAGCAAAACTAATCATTACCATGTACACAGTGAAAAGTGTGTGTATGAAAACCTTATGTCTTGATTCGCATTCATGTCAAAGTCAGTATTTGACAGCACTTTGTTTGCTTTTTATTTCTTAAGTAATGGCCCCAATCTTGAAAGTGAACATAACTGTACATCTAAGCATCTCAGTTGTATTACCTACTCTGTAATAACCCCCCCTCTGACTTGTATCATTTGGCCTGTGCCTCTTGACTTTTAACCTTTCTCAACCCCCCCCCAGGTTCAAGTTGGTTCCCCTTCACTCATCTCTGTCTAGCGAGGAGCAAAACTCTGCGTTCCTCAAGCCCAAGGAAGGGATCACCAAAGTGGTCATCGCCACCAACATCGCCGAGACCTCCATCACCATTGACGATATCGTCTACGTCATTGATGCCGGGAAAATGAAGGAGAAAAGGTGTCTTAGCATGATAACATTTCATTTTAGCCCAATTGAAATGTATACTTTGTTCTTGAATATTGGCTTTGTCTCTTGAAGTAACCCAACTAGCTGATCAGACCATGATGCCGTATACAAATGAATTGACTAATAACACCCATCTGTGAATGTTGCTGTCAGCTAAAATCTTCCAAAGGTGCAGGCGTTACACCCCGCTGTCTCCAAGTCGATTGATCGTAGTCTCAGAATGAGAGAATAGCAGTGCATATCTCAACTAACATTATTTGCAGAAGCTTATAGGGCATTGTTCCCACATGCATATCTGAGTTGGCTGGCCTGTGAATGAAAAAAAGGCAATCCAAACAACCAAAACTTAAAGGCTGGTTATTGACTTTCAGTGTCTGAGTGACTTAAGTTCTGTCTTTCTTTCATTAATAGGTACGACTCCTCCAAGGGCATGGAAAGCCTGGAAACCACCTGGGTGTCCAGAGCCAATGCCCTGCAGCGTAAGGGTAGAGCCGGACGTGTCACTGAGGGGGTCTGCTTTCATCTTTTTACTGCCAACACCTACCAGCACCATCTCAGGGAACAACCCATCCCAGGTACCAGCCAATACAAGCCTTTCAGAATCTCTAACCAGAGTGACATTTTAAAATCATTTCTGGCCCAACTCTTACTTTTACAAGTTAATGTAAACGGTCCGTTGCCTTGATGAGACAGTTGGAGCATACTGACTGACATGTTGAGTCTGGCCTCGTGAGAATGACTGTTCAGCTTTGGAATCAGTCACTCTACAAAAATTTGAGTTTTGTCAGATAGTGTGAAAATTTGGTAAAAGTTTGGAAGTGTCTGACAAAAGAAGAGCAAATTGTTCTTGATGTCATAGAAATTTCACTTACACCAAGTTGGAAGTTTTAAGCCTGCCAGTCATTAGTCAAATGGTGTCTCATAGAAAACTTTTGATTATAAGCCTTTAAATAATCATTATCAGTATCTTTCAGTGTGCAGTGAGGTGTAAAAATCAGTTGAATGATCTGGTGTTGCGGTGAATCCTAATAAAGTCAATCCATGGTATGAGAGATTTACAGTCTCGTTTACATTTATTGACAGAGATCCAGAGAATCCCCTTGGAGCAGCTGGTGCTCAGGATCAAGATTTTGCCTCTCTTCAAAGGAATGTCTGCACAGGTGAGCATCAGCTAGTCAGCCTGGAATACTCTATCTCTGCAGACAACACGTTGTTGAGTCGGCAATGGGAAAAGTGTGTTAGAGCAGGCAGGAGTCTGAATGAGCATTGTGCCTTTAGAGATATTTTGTAATGAATCACTGTCTATTCCCCACAGTTGGTGGTGCAAAAACAGGTGGACAGATTTGTAATTTAGCCTCAGGAATGACAATGCACACGTGGTAATGTGCCCTGCCCTAGAATGCATGAGAAATGATAATACCAAGTTATAATCTGCCCTCATCATTCATGAAAATGCCCCAGTCGTCAAAACATGACTTATTCTGTGATTGCCCATAGCAAGACTGACATTTACAAGACATGCAGGAGTACTGGAGACAACCCATAATTCCCTGCTTCCTTGATTACATATTACTGGTGTTAACATGTTTATGGCAAAAAGGAGTTATGTGGTCAATAATTGGATTTATACCATATGACCCCTGAATTTGAAAGAGTTGTAAGCCTGATAATCAGGGGTAATAATATGGTACACAGGTTTGTGAAGAAGTAAGGGGAATCCTTTTGTCTTGTTCATAATTTTTTGTTATTTCATAATTGTTTGGTATTTTTACTGTATCTGATTCCACAGGGTGTTTTGTCCAATCTACTTGAACCTCCTCCAACGTCCAATATTCAAGACGCCATCCTGAGGTTACAGAATCTTGGTGCACTCGATAAAGATGAGGTCAGTCTCAGTGTGCATTCCCAGCATTTTAAAAAAGTCTCAATACTTCATTGCCACTCCCAACATTTTATCATCATTCCTTTAGATAAATTCAGGCTTCCAGTCCGAACTCAAGCCTGCACACAACCAGGTTTAAACAAAAAAGGCCAAGCTCTTTTGACACCCAACAAATCTGAACACATGGCCTACATGCATACATGTATATTTTTATAATTATTCTTGAAAGGTCACAGATTGCATACTGGACTACATGTGCACATTACTTACTGGACTACATGTGCACATTACATACTGGACTACATGTGCACATTACTTACTGGACTACATGGGCACATTACTTACTGGACTACATGTGCACACTACATACTGGACTACATGTGCACATTA